TTCCCTTTCAATATCTGTTAATAATAATTCAATCCGTTCCGTTTCTGATTAGAAAACTGTTCCCGGATCAAGTGAAGCAATGCAGAAGACTCTGGAAGATTCATCTCAAAATCAGACTCCCACGAAGAATCCTTACACAACGAAGGAAAACAAGCCTTGCTTGAAGAAAGAAGAGGGAGAAGAACGAAACAATGTTTTTTATCATGCGACTGATTACTCTCCTACCGCATCTGAGGAAATTGTGACCAAATATAGTACCGATAATGATGATATCACTGCTCATAAGAAAGCACAGATTAAAAAGAGCAAATCTGTGGGGAGCGGTTTGAACTGGGAAAAGACGCGAACGTCTGGTGATGATGAAACAGAGCAGAGATATTCTTATGATGGCAACAAAAACGGGCTCAGGCTCAGCCCGTCTGACCAATTTCCAGAACCATTACCCTCAGTCTCCGTTCAAGTCGATTCTGACTTGGCGAAAAATAGATCCGTATATTCACTTGGGGAGTCCCCACAGCCAATCGAAAAGGAAGGTGCTGACGAGGATGATGCCTGCTTATCTGGCACTCCTCGTATTGTGAGGTCAAGCTCTTTGCCGAGGATGAGTTCCCCTAATCGAAGCTCAACGCCCCTTGTAGCTCGGTCGAGATCAGCCGAGGATCTCAACAATACAGATTCTAGAAACCAAGGCGTGATGATGCGTGAAACCGAAAGACAGCTAGAATTAGAAGTTCAAGAAAATGGTGACTCGGTTTTCAAGAATGAGAAGAATTATGAAATTGATGAGGTTTATAACTATGTGGGTTCGTCAAGAGATTGGATAGTGCCCGTGTCAGATGAGGCAAACAGGGGAAAATTTGCAGTAGGAGAATGTTCTTATCACAATTGGGATGAAATACCTGCCAAGGATTTTCGGTTAAGAAGAATTGAAGAATGGGTTTCAAACCTTCAGTATTGTGGTCCAATGGAAGATTCTATTGACGAATATGAGACAACGGGCTATGATGAGGAGTCACCAAAGGACCATGCGTTATTAGAAGAGCCCGCTGCTTTGAAATCGGAGGTCAAGGTCAGCAGCCCTGGAATGGAAGCAGCCAAAAGATACATTTCTTCTCTGAACACTTCAGCTACATCTGCTCAACTGACTAACCTTGGATTGGTTGTGATCCCCTTTCTCAGTGCCTTTGGTAGCCTCAAGGCGCTCAATTTATCTGGAAATGCTATAGGTCTTTTTTTTTTTTTCCCTCTTTTCTTCCAATGATCTATTTTCTTTTATGCCTTATTCTCTCGACTGATTGTTTATCCGCTTGTGACTTTAGTGAGGATTGCTGCTGGTGCTCTACCTCGAGGACTCCATATTTTGAACCTCTCGAGAAATAATATCTCGACGATTGAAGGATTGCGAGATCTTACCCGTCTTCGGGTGCTCGACTTGAGCTACAACCGAATATTAAGAATTGGACATGGTAAGATACAGTCTGTTTACAAAGCTTGAGTGACACTTGCATGTGATGTGATGCGATGAGAATAACTGATTTGATGCATATTTTGTCAAACAACAGATTATATGTGAAAAACGATAATAAATTGTTTGAAGTTATTGACTCAACACGATCATTTCATACGTTCATAAATATGCGAAAACTTTGACCTCCTCGTTTGATCATCACAGGACTAGCAGCATGTTCGTCACTGAAGGAGCTTTACTTGGCGGGCAACAAAATCAGCGAGGTGGAAGGTCTCCACCGCCTGCTGAAGCTGAACGTGCTCGATCTCCGTTTCAACAAGATCTCGACTGCCAAGTGTCTGGGCCAGCTGGCGGCCAACTACAACTGCCTGCAGGCCCTCAGCCTCGAGGGCAACCCGGCCCAGAAAAACGTCGGGGACGAGCAGCTCCGAAAATACGTGCAGAGCCTTCTCCCCAACCTCACTTACTACAATCGCCACTCAATCAAGGCCGGGACCACTAAGGATGCAGCCGAGCGCTCGGCCCGTATGGGAATGGGTGGGACCCGCCCGGACGCCAAGTCATCGAGGAAGGGGGCCCACGGGCTTTCGGNGTGTTTATGTGTGGAATAAATGTGTGTTTTTTGGGGGATATTGCTTCGTGCGTTTTTTTTTTTTACGCTGGTTTATCTTGGAAATTGATCGTTTGGAATTTTTTATTTTTTTTTGGTTTCGTGTTTGGACTCTGGTGGGTTTCACCGGTGAATGGGTGCTGCTTTTTTTTGGTTTCGTGTTTGGACTCTGGTGGGTTTCACCGGTGAATGGGAGCTGCGATTGTTTGCATTCGATTTGCAGTTTTATAATATTGTCATTTGTGTTGTATAGATTTTTGTTTTTTCTGTTGGGAAATGTCATGGCCACTGGTGGATGCTTGCTTTCACCTTCAATGTTGAAAGGAGTGGGAAGTTATAGGGTTTTTTGGTCACAAATTTACACATTCAGACACACACTCAATGAGTTGAACAAAAAAACAATTCAACGATCGAACTCGAGTGCGACTCATTATCAATAATAATAAGTTAAATTAAATTTTATATAAAATTTTTATTTTCAATTCATAACGATTGAATCAAATTCGAACTTGTTAACTAAACGAGCTTTCAATAGAGTTCGGTCAAATTTATCAACCGACCTCGCACGTATTTTTTAATACACGGAAATTTTGCAGAAATTCCGAAAACATCCCACCGAACAATTTATAATTCCCAAATTCTTCCCCTTCGTTTCGTTCAAACCCATCTGCAAAACGGAGCCCGCTCCAAAACCAGATAGATGGACAGCGGCCTGATATCGGTGGACAAATGGGCCTCCGGCAGCCAGGCCTACTTCCTCACCCACCTCCACGCCGACCACACCTCAGGCCTCTCCTCCTCCTGGCGGCGCGGCCTCCTCTACTGCTCCCGCCTCACCGCCAAGCTCCTCCCCTGCAAATTCCCCGGCTTCGACCTCTCCCTCCTTCGTGTCCTCGACATCGGTCCTTGGTACTCGCTCTCTCTCACTTTAATTTCCTCTGGATCAGCCTCCACTGTCTACGTCAAGGCCATTGACGCTCACCATTGTCCCGGTAATTAGTTTTTCCAAATTTGATATTACTATT